TACACTGTGCCATTATTTTCAGTCGTTGCACGCAGCTACTGCTCTAAACCCTGCGATTAGTCGTACAGTTGTGCTCAAAGTCCTAAAAAGAAAAGGCAACGATGTATTTGGAAAAAAAAAGACATGGCTGAGCAAACGTGGCTACTACGGTCTGTCAATTTTACAGACAGAACTCCATTTCACTCATTGCCCCCCCGCCATGCTGCTGTTTTTACATCTGAGAGGAAGAAGAAAAATGAAGTATCCTTCTTTGCTCATGCGCCCTGAGCGGTTTGCCCCACGACATGTTTGATTTTGTCCCGACCTCATGATTTCTGATGGGGAGGTGGTTATGAGAGGCTGATCGCCGCTCGTAACCCCCCTGCACACTACACGACTCCCGATCAGGCTGAAAGTCAGCCCAATCGAAGGATTCTCGCACGACTGAAAAATCGCCCTGAAAATCACACAGTGTACGCCGGGCTTTATCGCATTTTAAGAAAATCTGATTTTCAAATCACAGAGGCACTCGGTTCTGGTCACGTTACATTTATCCAGACCAGGGAAAGAGCCATATCGGGCCAAAAAAACAAAAAATAAATCTGTCTGGAGCTGCAAAAATGTAAAAGTCTTCTATAAGTTACTTACTGTTAATTTAAGTCATTGTTTTTGCTATAGCCCTCTGTATTTATTTGTCTATCCTCATCCCCCAATACATCTTCCTACACCTTATTTAATTGATTCTATTTTTCTATTGTATATACGGTGTCTAAACATCCTCTATTTTCTTGTATGTGCAATTTTTCCTGCTACTGGAAATACAATTTCCCGAAGGGAGTAATCCTAAGGGATTAATAAAGTCAAGTCTAAGTCTAAGCCTCGTATGGAAACTCTAAGTGTTTTATCCCACTATAGAAAAGGACTATGTGGGCTTAAATATATAATAAGCATTCATGACTAAACGTTTATCCAGGAGCTAATGTCACATAGTAGCATGAGGTGAGGGAGGAGCAGTGAACGCTCCCATCGCACATCGCTTCACTAAAGAGCTGCCTGCGGAGCCACGGGTTGCCGACCCCCCCCACACCAGCCTATAAGAGCATTTTTCTCACATTCCAGCTCTTAATGCTGATTTATGCTCAGAAACCAGGTCGTCTGCATGTTTTTCGCAGTAAACGCAGATTTGCCCCGCCCCCTCTGCAGACACTCTGCTGCACCTCCCCAAATTTCTAGGTGACTGCAGACAGGAGGCCTCTGCTTGGTCAAATCTACATCCGCTCTACTCTATGCGTATTTCCTGTTCAGTTCCTTACCGGCTTGTTTCGTTTGTCTGACCGCCATTGTGGAAAACGACTGAAGATGGACCCGCTGCATGAGAACGCTGGGACCCTTCTCCCACCTGGATCCCCGCTCTTTTTGACCCTCATGTCCCTCCGTTGTTGCAAAAACTTGCCTCACCGCCTCGGCCGTATCCAGACCCACAGCTAGTTCCTGATTGGCCCTCTGGCGTTGTGGCGTGGAATAACATAGCGCAGACCACGCTTCAATATTGGATAAATCAAAAATATCAGCGACAAGCTCACTGCGACGCACTGCTGCAGGAGGATAACCAGACCTTCAGCCCTGGCTGCTGATTCACCAGATGCATGCTGGGTAAAAAGGGAGGATCGAGAACAATATCTGGGCACTTTGTCTGTTCCCAGTATTCTTGTTCTTGCGAATTGGAACAGTACTGGGGCTGAGATGAGGACGCACAAGTAGACGTATTGAGAAACGGCCCTAGATTAGTGACAATTCAAAAACAGAAAATATGAATAACTGGATA